AGTTTGGCAGTCAGATTCTGTTTGCATTTCAATAGCACCTCTTGACGAGGAATTTACTATACTCATCGGCACCATCTAGGGGCGCTAGTAAAATGCAAATGGCATCTATACACCGGGATTAACTTTTGTAAATGAACCCCATCGTGTAACACCAATGATAATTACCTGTTAGAATGTAAATAAACAATTTACACTGCACAAGATGCTATTTATAAACTATATATTACAAATATTTTTTGGAGAATATGTTAAGTGGGATTTAGCAAGTAAGGCATAGGTTTATTACATTTCATTATTTTTTGTAAACATTTTATTTACAGTTAAATTCACAAGGTAGTATGCAATAATTACAATAAACATTTATAAACATACTGGGGGGATTGGTCAAAACTGGAGCAGATTTGCCCAGGGCAAACAATCAGTTTCTCTCCTCAGTTTGTTGAGATTTGATTGAGATTTGAAGATGAAAGAGAGAAGCTGATTGCCATGAACTGCTGCTCCAGTCTTGATGAACCCCCCTCACAGTATGTTCAACTTCTGACTAAAATCCAATGTGCATTCTTTATACAGTGTCCCTAGATTGCTTGGAATAAATGTATATTATTTCAATTAAACAAAAAAATACACATTTGCATTATGCCCAACAACTTTGAAATACAGAAAATCTGTTGCACTAAAAAGTTCCATGACTATTTTGCTTTCAGTTCTTTTTCCATTCATTCGTCCTGTCCTGGAGTGGATGAACGTCTCCTTGTTTCCAGAAGACTTTCTGAATTTCTACATGAATGCTATTACTAGATTCAAGGAGAAGCGCCAGAAAGAAGACCACTCAGTAAGGCCACTCTACTAAAACATGGGAGGGGAAATTTATCAAAACTGGACCAGACAAAATCTGGAGCAGCTGTACATGACAACCAATAAGCTTTTTTTTAGAAGATTTAGCCCCTTAGTGACGGTAGACGTACATTGTATGCCCCCTTCACTAAGTGCCCAAATGACTGCTCACGTACACAGACAGGCAACCCCCCCATGCCTATTAGCAGCATTAGAACTGGCTATCCTCTTTACCCTTGTGCCACGGTGGTGGTACACCGCCAACAAAACCAAGGATCTCTTGACATATTGCCAGTCTCCCAGGATTCTATGTATTGTGGAGTAACTCCAAGATGGTTTTGGAACATAGGCGCACACGACGCATGTTTAACGTTACTAAGCGCTCATTCGCGTGGGCAGGGGACTTTTTTTTCCATTTTATTTTACTTACCCTCTATGTGATAGCATATTGGGTGGTGACAGGGACTCTTTAAGGTGACATTAGGGGTCTGTTAGACTCCTAGGGGTTGATTTACTAACCTTATAAACACACCACGAACATGTATACACCTCTGTAGTGTGTTCCCTCCCAGCATGATCTATGGGTGGAATCTAAACACCTTTGTAGTGTGTACACACCCAGCAGGTGTGTTGTACAAAGCCCTGCATGAATTGCAAGGTGATGTTGTGTAAATTAGCTCTATGTTATGTTGCTTGCGTTGATGAATGCAGGAATGTAAATGCATGAGCTAACCATTTTTGTCTAAACTGTGAAGCAGCATTATATATGCATCATGTGCATGATTTTTCCATATATGGCATTAGTGGAAATATGCTTTTAGAGACTTTTTGGTTGATAAATACGTTTTGCTGTGTGAAAAATCACACGCACCTAGTGCATGCGTGTGTTTAGGTTAGTAAATCACCCCCCTAGTGTCACCTTTCCACTGCAAAGAAGCTATGCTTTACACTTCACCAGCCCCTGAAAGTGATCTGGCAGCAGCACCAGAATAGCTTCTAATGTAAGATAGTCTGTTTAGAGGGGCCCGCTGCCAGTGACGTATGACATGCGTTGCAGGCAGCAAAAGGGTTAAACCTCGTTTTACGCATGGTTGCCCGATCAAACAGTGCATTCTGGTCTGCTTGTATTATTATTATTATTATAATACAGGATTTATATAGCGCCAACAGTTTGCGCAGCGCATTACAATATAAGGAAGACATTACAATTACAATACAATTCAAGACAAGATGGTAAGGAGGGCCTTGCCCCTGAGGGCTTACAATCTAAAGGTTAGAGACATCTTGTAAGGACTGTATTCTACTATATAGCTTGGTGTTATCTGCAGTCACAGGAATTGTACTTTTAATCCCAAATGCTATATCATTTAAAAGTACAGTACGTCAAAAAGAAAGTTACATCTCTTTATCAGGATATTCCTTACAGTGACTAGGAAAGTATTGAAGTTGTTGGATCAACATATGAGCTAGACAGAGAGGTCAACAATGGCAGCTTACCTACTTCCTTCAGTGCACGTTTCCCTAAGGGCCCATTCATACACGTGTTTCAATGTGTGCTTGTTAACGAGCATTAACACAAATGCAGAGGTTTTTAATGGTTAGAGTTCACATTTATGCAGCACATTGACACGCATTGGCCAATAAAAGTTTATGTCCATTTTTTTTCACCTGTCTATGCGAATTTTAATAGGAAAGGCAACACCTGTCAACTTGCATTGTAAACATGAATCCACCCTTAAAGGTTTTTCTCTCTTCCCAAATGGTATATCCAAAAAAAAACTACGGTAGACATAGGAACTCAGTATTTGTATATAAATGAAGTATTCTGCATGATGTTTGCCTTTAGGGTGAAGGTAGAGAATGGCATTAAATTACACTTTTTTTTTTTCCATGATCTGCCACTGTCCTACTGTCCTAATGTGATGTATGTCATCACGTCTGCTTGTTATTTTTTAATCAACAGGGGGTGGACTTCCTACAGCTCATGCTGGATTCAAGGACAGAAGACATTAATGATACGAACAAAGAACAAAAAGGTAAACAGACTTACAGTATATTAATAGGCTTACTTTTCATTTACACAAACATTTACATGGTGCTTGAATCCTTAAGGTGAATTGTTATCGTACTTTTGTTTTTTTTTGTAACACTTGTATAAAAACAATTAGAATTTTTACATATTACATACTTTGTTTTTACATTTTGATGATGCATGTTTTTTTCTTTACCTTTAGTTGCTACCTTCCTATCAGGGTATCTGGTCGGCGTACCAGGAACCTTCACTTTTTCATACAGGAATAAAGGAATGGGTACAATAATGTGCATCTTTGTTCACCTAAGGTGCCCATTATTCCTCTTTTACACAACATAAATGGTATAATAATAGCAAACAATGCAAGAAATTAGGAGCAATACCATAGTTGCCAACATTTAAAAAAACAAAATCCAGAGACACCTTTTTTTGCGGTTTTGTTTAGCAAGCTTGTAGGTGGAGAATGTATTTTAATTAGGGGCAGGGCAGTCATTTAAAATGAGTGTGGTTTTCCCAGAGGTACAGTAAACTCCCAGTTATCCGGCACCTATATGGGGTAACAGTAGTTTCTGGATGCTTGAGAGTTAATAGTAACTCTCAAGCAAACACCCCACCCTCCCCCCACGGCGCGAGAAAGTTCTCTCTCAGGTCTGCTCCTCTTTTCAGTGAGCGTGTAGAATAGCCAGCCTGCTATTAGCTATTGCAATTTGAAATAGCCAATAGCAGGCTGGTTGTTGCTCCCAATTGTTTACTTTCTGCTGTCGAACGCTGAATTTATGTCCTCAATTTTTTTGCCAGTTGCTTGAACGTGCCAGTAGTTTGAAAGCGGAATATGGGGAGTTTACTGTACTGTATACTATTACCCTATTGTATAATTTAAGGCCAAGCTCCAGGGAAATTACGTTTTTCCATCCAGTGGGGCTGCCCTACATTGCAAGGGTTAACTGCTGGTTTATGTCTAGGGGACGAAAAAAAAAGCTGTTTTACTTAGTTAACAATGAACCCTCGCAGTATGTGGCTGCCCCGCCGCATGGGAAAACGTTTTTTTCCCTGGAGCTGGCCTTTAATTGTAAAATACAGATATATTTATCATAATAACGACAAAAATGCAGCGAAGAAGATATTGGTCATTAGTAAAAAATATTTATGTATTTGTTTAGCTAGCTATAACTTTTAAGCTGGGCATACACTCTTGAATTCTGGCCGATTAGGCAGCAGCAGATAATTAAAGCTGTGGGTGGCCCTGCCGACACTAACTAGCTCGAAAAAAGTTGGATTTTAAAATCAAAGGTGCAAGGTGGAAAACTGCTGGTTAGACAGTGAATAACGGAGCATTTACACTGTCCACCAATGTAAAGGGGATATACACTGACCGCCAATGTAAAGGGGATTTACAGTGACCGCCAATGTAAAGGGGATTTACAGTGACCACCAATGTAAAGGGGATTTACAGTGACCGCCAATGTAAAGGGGATTTACAGTGACCGCCAATGTAAATGGGATTTACACTGACCGCCAACGTAATGGGGGATTCTACATTGACCACCAATGTACCAGGGATTTTACACTGACCACCAATGTTAGGGGGATTCTACATTGACAACCAATGTAAGGGGGGACTCTACATTGACCGACAAAGTAAGGGAGATTCTACACTGACTACAAATGTAAGGGGGATTTACACTGACCGCCAATGTAAAGGGGATTTACACTGACAGCCAATGTAAAGGGGATTTACAGTGACCGCCAATGTAAAGGGGATTTACACTGACCGCCAATGTAAAGGGGATTTACACTGACCGCCAACGTAATGGGGCATTCTACACTGACCACCAATGTACCAGGGATTTTACACTGACCACCAATGTTAGGGGGATTCTACATTGACAACCAATGTAAGGGGGGACTCTACATTGACCGACAAAGTAAGGGAGATTCTACACTGACTACAAATGTAAGGGGATTTTACACTGACCGCCAATGTAAGGGAGATTCTACACTGATCACAAATGTAAGGGGGGACTTTACACTAACCACCAATGTAAGGGGGGGTTTACACTGACCACCAATGTAAAGGGGATTTACACTGACCATCAAAGTAAGATGGATTCTACACCGACCACCAATATAAGGGGGATTTACACTAACAGCCAATGTGAAGGGGGATTTACACTGACCACCAATGTAACAGAGGTAATTACAGTGACCCCCTCCATCTCTTTGCTAACCTCTATATCACACACAGTAACATCTACTCTCACCTCTGCAGCACCTTTACCTGGTCACACTCAATGACAACAGGCGGCTGTTAGGACTCCCAGGCATCCTCCTCATTCTTTACATTCCCCCATGTGGGAAGCATTCAGTGACATTGATGGTGGACGTAATTTGCATATCAATGCAATTATGTATTTGAATGGAAATAAATCATAGCTTATTGATATGTAAATCCCACAGCTGAATGCAGATTAACCCCTTAGTAACACAGCTTCAGACATTTTTTTCGCTTCCAGGGACCGTAGCATTTTTGCCATTTTTGCTATGATTTTGTTCAACCATAATTTCCATCTTCCTCATTCATTGCACCTACACATATTATATACTGTTTTTTAAAGGACAAGATGGGGTTTAAGTTAATGTGACATATGCATAAAGAAATTTTTATTTTTATTTTTTAAAAATACAAAAAAAGTTGAAACAAAATTGAAAAAAAAAACACATTTGTCACAGTTTTGGCAATAATAATGTATACATAATTAGTGTAGCTAACAGAAAGTCATTTATAATTAATTCGTATTTTTGTCCTGATTTATAGGGTATATCATATGTCTGGGATTTCAGTTTACTTTGGGAGTTATAGGTCACAAGATACAAGGAGTGAAATACAATTTTAGTGTGGAACAATTTTAGAATGGGGTATGTTTGTCTCCTATATTTAATACCCTCCTCAGCACTATATTTTCTTATCATTTTGTTTATTAAACATATTTTTTATAACTTATTTTGACTATTTTCTTTTTTTTATGTTAAAAAATTAAAAACATTTTTTAAACTAGGGGGCACTAAGGGTTTTTTTTTTTTTTCCAGGAGCTTTGATACTTAGTATTTCTTAGTAGAATACAGTATTCTGCTGAGAGATACATTGAGGGGAATTTATCAAAAGTGAAGCAGGCAAAATCTGGAGCAGATGTGCATGACAACCAATCAGCTTCTCTCTTTGATTTTCAAATTTTAACTGAACAGACTGAAGAGAGAAGCTGATTGGTTGCCATGGGCAACTGCTGAAGATTGTGTGCTCCAGTTTTGATAAATTCCCCTTATTTGTATCAATTTGTAAACACACAGACGGCTCCAGCTGCACACAACACAGTCAGCTGCTGCCGGCTGTATAACTGTCACAACGATCAGGTCTGGCTGTCATCACAGAACTGTGACCACCTAATCTGCTGTTGAGGATCTGCCTCGGACCCCAAGGGACCCATCAACAGCACTAAGTCAATGAGCTCTTGGTCCCTTTTACCTACCAGTGCTCACTGTATCACATGATGGGATTATCCCGTCACCGGTCGTTAACGAACTGAACGACCGTGACGGGATAATCCCGTCAATGGTTGGGAAGGGGTTAATGAGCACCAAGGCGAGGTTAGGCAGAGGTAGCTTCCCTGTGATAGCAGGAACAAAATCTGGGGCACAGGTTTAGAGGGATGGCTTGACAGAAGGTGGGACTCTCCCGGCAAATCCAGGACAGTTGGCAGCTATGTGTTACTTGTTTTTGCGATTGAGCTCTCTGTGGCCAGTTTATCTTAGGCTGACGGAGTTGTTATTTAACATCTGTGAACTTAAACACAATTGACAATAAACTCTCTCTTTAAAACAACCCTCCAATCATCTAATGTCCTAACAACTGCAGTTGTGACATGTATATATTAAAGTGCAGGTTGTAAATATATGGGAGACAAGGTTTCCTGGGAGGTGAGGTTAACATCACCTTTCCAAAATACACTAAGGCCTAGTACACACGGGCTTCAGCTTGTATTAGAGCAATGTGACCAGCAAGCTGTTACAAAACATTTTGGAAAGTTTATAGCAGCTTTCTTGAAGCCTGTAAAGCTGTTTAATTCCAGTTTGGAAACGTTAACACAAATCTTCGTAAGTGCTGGTTGTCTTTTAACAAGCTCCTACAGGCTTTAGCAAGCTTTCAAGTAGCATCGAAGCTTGTTGAAAGCCTGCTTGCAGCTTGTTTTAAAGAGGAACTCCAGGAATTTGAAAAATTAACCCTTGCAGTGGGGCTACTCCTGCACCACATTGGTTAACTGTTCATTTTGTCTAGAGAGCGAAAAGAAAGAAGACATACTCACTTAATCCTTGGTCCTGCCTGGCTGCTAGAAGAGTCCCTGCAGCCTTTTCTCCCCCAGGCTCTAGTGGTTTAAAGACTCATGACGTAATTACGTCTATTACAGCGTATTAGATGTGAGGAGGCGGAGGGACATACCACAGCTGGAGCAGAGGGGTAGCGAGGTGAGCAGTCACTACCATAGAACTTAGGATCAGGTGAGTATATCTTCTTTATTATCGTCCCTAGAGAAAAACCAGCAGTTAACCCTTGCAGTGCTTTAAGTGACATCTTTAAGTGACAACTAGCACTAATAAAATCTGTGTTTAACATCCCCAAACTGGAGCAGAAGAGTGTGTTAAAGGCTTCGAGAAAGCTGCTTGAAGCTTCTCAAAAGCTTAGTCACACATTGCTGTTAAACAAGCTGAAACTCGTAAGTACTAGACTGAGAAGTACCTAAAAAAGGCACTTCCCATCTTCCATGTCTATTATGAAGCACATAAGTGCCTGCAAAATTACAGTTGGGTTTTAAAATAAGAGGTAGTAGGTCTTCCAAGGATACCTTTGATAGATATGACCATCTTAGATCTGTATTGTTAACAGGTCTGCAGACCCTGAAGCCTAAAAAGCACCCAGTTTTCACCAAATAATTGTATATGAGGACTTGCATTAGCTCGGAGCACAGATAAATATGTCTTTATTAGCACTAACAAACCTTGAATCCATCTTTACAGCACTGACAGATTCAGAAATAATGGCCCAATCTGTTGTTTTTATACTCGCTGGATATGAGACCACTAGTTCGACACTGACCAGTCTATTTTATAACCTGGCAACACATCCTGATGTACAACAAAAACTTCAGGAGGAAGTTGACTTATATCTGCCCAACAAGGTAAGAATCTCCCTCATGATAAGCAGCTTTACATCTGTAATTTACAAGAAACAGATTAGCAGGTTCAGCATGTTTAATTCTCCTAAACTACATACCACAAGACTACCACATGAGTATGATCTTTATGTGAATGATAAATTGTGCTTTCAATTTAGGAGTATTTTACCCTTTTGCTGTTACAATGTGACGTGCACAGGTAAAAGTAACGTTAAAATATTTGTATGACATTAAAGAACAATTCCAGTTGAAACTTTTATTAACCCTTGCAGTGGGGCTACCCCCACATTGCAAGGGTTAACTGCTTGTTTTTGCCTAGGGTGAAAAATAGCAAAATTATACTCACCCAAACCTCCGAGCTGGCCAGGTGTCACATCGCTCCCTCCTGCCTGCCTACTCTGGCATGGCCCGATAGTATATCCCTCGACATCCTCATGTCCTATACAGTGTATTAGTCGTGTTGATCCAAGGATCCTTAGACTGCTGCAGCGGAGGGGGAGAGAGGCTCCAGGGATGGTCTAAGAGCTAGCTGGCTCAGAGGATTGGGTGAGCACCTAACCCTTGCAATAAAAGTTTTAACTGGAGTTCTGCTTTAAGATAAGATCAAGTTAGGTGTGTATGGACAGGAATCAGTTCAGTGCCACAATGTTCAGAGTTTGCCCATCCTTGCATGATTTTTGACACTAACACATTTAGTAATAATGTTCTTGGGAACCTACATTTTTACTGGGAGTACCTCATTTTAATATATTTTTATTTCATTTGGATTTTTTTACATGTTATTTTTTCTCACGGGGAACTGAATCTGGTACAGATGGACTTTATCCAGACCCAAGGTTACCTCTGCAGCAGCAATAGATCAAACCTGAAGTGATTTAAGCTGGCTGTACACACTAGAGTGAAGTTGAATTTGTACGCATGATCTGATTGCTGGCCAGCACAGCCCTAAACAAGGACAGTCACATTGGGCAGCCGTTTGCATTCAGACATGTGGAGCAGTATGGAAGAGCTGCTACAACTGGGTCAGATAGACATCAAAGACAATTCTCATGTAACTACAATATAGAAACATCATGGTTTTATTGTGCTATAGGGTCCTGAGAAGGGCTACTACAGCTAAAAGTAGACATGTGCATTCGTTCTTGTCCGAACTGACATTTGGATGAAAATCTGCATTTTCGGACATCCAGATGCTTTTGAATGCCAGAATGCAACAAAGAATTTGAACGTATCTGAATTTTTGATAACGAAAATTCGGACTCATTCAAATTTTGTCCAAATGTGATAATGTTGTTAAACTTGAAATTAACAATAAAATTTTAAAAAAAACAGCGTGAGGTTCCCCCCTCCCAATTCTGGTATGAATTTTAGGGGGGACCCTGTGCCAAAAAACAAACAAACACATGCATATGCAGCACACCCGACTGACTCTTATTGCTGTCCCTCCCTCTTTCAATCTGAGTTTTGCTGCACAGGGCATTACAGGAGATTGATACCAAGCAAAATGCAGGTCCTAACAGAATGAAAGGATACCAGTATGGAAAATATGTTTCTTTATTGTCCATTGAGGAACACAGGAATGTAATACTTCTTATACTGTCATCTTAAGGAGGTTTGGACAGTGACAAACAAAAAAGTTAAGGCAGCTCTGTATAACCCTGGTGGGGTTATAGTGGGACTGGCTTTAAAAATGTACTTGTTTGCCAGCTGTTATATTGCCAGGAAGGTGGCAATATAACTTGTATGTCCAAGAATTACAACATTCCTTTGTCCCTCAATAAACGGTCATTAAAAGAGTTTGCAATAAGAACAAAAATCATATTTTTATTACATAACAAATACAATTTCGAATTTCTCAGCTTGAACATGTTACATTTATATGTAGGGTAAATAACATACATCAGGATACATTATGATCCTGTCGTGGTTCTTGTTCATACACTTTGTATTGATTTGGGGTGAAAACTGTCCCAGTTGTGCCCTTGTACAAGTGGTAATTGTTTATAATATAGAGGGCTTTAGTAAACTAAATGTCATCCAGTTAGAATTTGAATATGCACTAAAGTTGGTTTTTATTAATTGCCTATGTGTACTTAATTAATGTCACCCTCTCAGGCCAGCCCCACCTATGACATTCTGATGCAAATGGAATATCTGGATATGGTGATTCAGGAAACTCTCCGCATGTACCCTCCTGCGGGAAGAGTGGAGAGGGTATCAAAGAAAACTGTTGAAATCAATGGTGTTACCATACCAAGAGGGATGGTCTGTATGATCCCAGCATATGTGTTGCATAACGATCCAGAATACTGGCCAGAGCCCGAGGAGTTCCGGCCTGAAAGGTAAAGAGATACAGTTCTTAAATTCCTTTCCTAAATAGACTCTTACTTTCCTATTTCCCTCCTTCAAGACATTGAGATACTGTCTAAGAAATTACCTCCAAGAGTGAGAATAGTGATAATGACCATTATACATCCTAGCTAAACAGGCTACTAGACTATATACAGATAGCAGAGATATTATCTCCAGTTAAAATCTGACTCAGTCTTTGGCTCTCCCTTTGGTCCACTCTATGGAGGCTGTTTTCACACAGTTTTGTCAAATATGTTAAATTCTCTACTGAAACTCACTGCCAAAGGTCATACTGAATGGCTGGATTTCCATATATATGGATGCACTTGCTAGATGTGTCCATTGTCAAAAAGATCATACAGTATGCTATAGCAGTGGAGCTCTTGACATCTCCATTTAGGGTTTCACCAAACAGGGCCCCGGGGAAACAATAGAATTATATGCAAATGATGGGATTTCTATACTGTCTTTCCTTCTGGAGGGTGGCTACTTTTGTTCCTTATTGTCCCTGTGTGTGTTGTAAAGTAGCCACTGTTTCAAGCTTGTTCCTGTGATGGACTACAATTTCAATACAAACTAGCTAACTAAATGTGAGATTGTAGTCCATCACAGGAGTGAGTTTGGAGCTGTGGCTTCTTTACAACACACACAGAGACCTTAGCAAAAAAAGTAGCCACCCCCAGAAGGAAGGACAGTGTCAGCATTAATTCAGAGATGATTTGAGGATCTACAGCTGAGTGATACAGAAATAAGATACATTTTGTTATTCGTTAGGGTGCTTGAAGGCATTTTTAAGATTTAATGCCTGAGTTTAGTGTCACTTAGCATACTGAAGTTCCATTTCTTGAATACCAGATCTGGTCAAACATTGTAGGTTTTATTTACATTATAACACTATAACCCTTTAATATCCTGAAAAAAGACTACAGTAGTCCATTGTAATTAACCAGATAAGTTACTGAAAGTTTTATGTGCATAGCGTGCCTGTTACAGTGTAGTTTAGAATATAAAAGGAGGCTTATTACTGTGTGCCACATCTCTACTTTGCATTTCCTTGTTTTGAATAATCCCGATATTTTTCATTAGGCATTAATGTCTTTTCCTACAGGTTTAGCAAGGAAAACAGAGAAAATCATACTCCATACACCTTCCTGCCCTTTGGAGATGGACCCCGAAACTGCATTGGAATGAGATTTGCTATGCTAAGCATGAAAGTAGCAACGGCTGCCATCCTCCAGCACTTCATCTGTCGACCCTGTAAAGCCACTATGGTTAGCTAACTCTCTACACTTGTTATAAAGATAGCATTATCCATCTCTATCTAATGATTTACATATCATGTAGTCAAAAGGAAGCAGTTGAAGTATTATCATCCTTTTAATTCTTCTTAAACTGGAAGGATGTGTTGTTTTGGATAGAATAGGAGAGGTCTAGGACCCGTTTTATTTTAATGTATGTTTCAGTTGGGCAGATCTCCCCTCACATTCTTTGTAGGGCCAGGTTTTTGCTGCTATCTAAATCCCCGTCGGGGACTCAGCAATAGGAGCATTGGCTTAATAGTATGGGGAAGGCTTATAACCTGTATCCGTTCTTTTGCTGTTTGTGTTCCCGTAAAGGAGATTCTCTCTGACTTCCTGTGCTGTAACTAGAAATGAAAGTGAGGGAAAATCTCCTTAAAAGGGATTCAGGAAGCAGTACATACATGAAAGAGCCTCTAACTCTTCTCTACTGAATCAAAAGTTTTGATTGGAGCCAGACTTCATCTTTGCAAAATCCCACATTCTGTTAAAATGTAACATAGTCAAGACGTATTTTTTTATGCTTTGGATAGAGTGGAAAAGGACTAGAATTCCTGTCAGGGTTTATTGCCATTGGAGGCTGCATTGGAGAGATTAACTTCCTGTGTGGTAAAAATGTTGGCCCCTGTAAACACACTCCCAGTGGCTCTAGATCACAGGGGTGCGCAGCCAGTCTGTCTGTTTACCAGTGAAAAGCTGACTTTCGGCTTTACACTGGAAGCGATTCTGGCAGCTGTTTGCTTTCAGGGACGGTAAACAGAGCCCCCCCCCCTTTGCTTCCTTGGCCTGGGACCGGCCTCATGGGTATCGACGGGTAGCAGTGAGATCAAACATCCATTCGCTGATCTTCTTCCTGCTGAATGAAGCAGAAAGCAACGCTGACTGCACGACTTCCGGCTTCTCAGCTGTCATACCCTGGCTAGAGAAGCCAGTACAGAAGCTGATCAAACACTATCTGTACCTGATCAGCTTCTTTGAAGTGCAAAAGTGACATTAGGGGTCTAATAGACCCCTAATGTCACCTTAAAGATTACCTGTCACCTTCAATATGCTATCACATTAGGGGGCTTGTAAGCCCCCTATGTGATGTCAATAAAGTAAAACAAAAATAGAGTTAAATAAAATAAATGTAAAAATAGCCAAAGCCCCCTGTCCCTGCAAACGTCTGCACACTAATGCAAACACTTGTCGGGTGCGCCTACATACGTTAAGTATCACCACGTGCGTCAGAGTAAATGTGCAAAAAATAAAAGTGCAAAATAACACTCTGGCAGCGAAAGTGTTAATCCATATATGGTGGTTGCTATCATACCTGGAAAGTAGATCTGTGAGCCCTTAGACAACCTTTACCATTGTATTGTACAAGTATACTTTTGTGTTGCACAGGTTCTCATTGAAGTTATAGTGTACTTTCAGAGTGTTCCTGAGGCATACTGTGGCTATACTTAACTATATTTAAAGTATATCAAGTTTTTTTTCTTGCACAGAGCAGGGAAAATTAAAACCCCTGTCAGGTTCTTACTCCTTTCTGTATCCCCGGGGAGATTCACACTATTTGTCCTGGTGACCATTGTGGTGGTTTTTTAAGGAGGTTACAGCAACAGTAGGTGAAGGGAAATCTTCCAAAGGGAACAATGGTTTTGGTGACATCTCTTCAAGAAGGGATTTCCCCTCGTTTGGATAGATTTGTCTTACTTCCTGCTGTTGGCAGTACAGGAAGTGAAGAAAACTCCCTGATGGAACACTGATAGGGGTCCTAACCATGCCCTTCTAAAAAAAATGGCTTTGCTTGCTCTTTAATGGTAAGCATTCTAGCTGTGTTTTTAGAATGAGCATTTATAACACAATTTGCTATCCATAAAAATCACTAAGCAATACTTTTTCAGCTTAAAACTGAACACAGCAAAATACACATATGAGAGCGGTTTTACAGGCAAAACTATTAGTATTTTGTCCATCTAGTCCTGAGATTTACACAGCCTTGCCACACAGCACAGCCAGATGACCTAACATTTAGCAGCCTGAGATTGGACAGAGAAGGAGCAGGAACAGACTGATGAGGTCCTCTCTGTCCTATCAGTATATTGTATGTCAGCATATGTGGCATGTGAATACAGGGAGCTTTATTGGCCCAAAGTACTGGCCCTTTCTCTCCCATTCTCCAGAGTGTTGAAATCAAGTCATACTTAGGTATTTATACTAGAGGTGCACCGAAATGCAAAATTCAAAACCGAAACGAAACCGAAATTTAAAACATGTCAGGCTGAAACCGAAACACTGAAAAGTGAGCTGAATTGGAGAAATTTTCCAAATGAGCTATTTTGGCCTAGATTGTTCACTTTTCCTGCCTTCTCCAAACCCTTCATCATTTTGTGAATAACCCTGTGAATGTTTGTACCTCGCTCTCCTTCCTGACAGCTGTCACAGGAGGCCGAGCGAGCGCTGAGAGAGCTCAGCCTGCTGTGACAGAGCTGACTGTCTCCGCCCACACACCGCTCTGCCCATCTGTGACAGGAGGCTGAGCGGTGTGGGAGGAGAGACGCCAGCCGCTCACAGCGCACTCCTCCCGCAACGCTCGGCCGGCTGTCAGTTTCTCTCCTCCCCGCTGGGACACAGAGCAGCGTCCAGTGGGGAGGAGAGAATACACAGATGCACTGCTGTATCGGCCAGAAAATTGCACTTTCAGCATTATGCCAAAAGTGCCATTCTTGGTCGATATATTTCGGCAGCCGATATATCGGTGCATCCCTAAATTATACTGAATGCATTTAAAATACATTTATGATTTATTCAATAAATACATATCTGCATTAATTCGTGAATTATACGTGGAGATCAGCTTTAAAGAAGAACCCCATCATTTTTTTTATTAAGGTATTGGGTAACAAAGTGTGTATTGAGGTGTATGCCACCCCCAGTATCACTGGCTATTCTTTACTCTTTCCAATTTCATTCATCCTGGAAAACGTTTGCTATGCTTCCAGCACTGCGTCAGGAGAGCCATGACTCTCCTACACACAAGCCATACTATCCACCCCTTTCTCCCCTTGTCCACTCACAGAATGCTTTGTATTTTGTGAATGGGCTCACAGAATACATAGCATTCTGTAAATGGACACCAGGAGAGGGGCGGTCAAACATGTGGCGTGTGTGAGAGCCATAGCTTTCCCATCTCGGTACCAGCAGTATAGCGAAAGATTCCTGGCATGAATGAAAGTGAAAATTGTAAAGAACAGCTAACTATCCAGGAGGTGGCCTACACCTCATTACACTTAATTGTTTGTTACCCAGCACATAAAAAAAAACTCCTGGAGTTCTTCAAGCAACAGCTTTCTGATTACCATTAGTATGAAGAAAAGGAGCTTACACTACAACTGGCAGTCTACCTCTCGGGTTACTGTTCTTACGAAAGATATACCACCAGCACACACATCATTATAAGTCTACATTCACATATCTGCATTTTTCATACAGTGTAATGCATGTTAGATGTGTTTTACATACATATTACATGTATTGCCATTCATCCTATGGTAGACATACCTTGCTGGTAACCACGCCAAAGGAGCAGCAAGCACTAAAACACATATAAGTGAACACAGCCAAAGAGGAAGATATTAGACTAAATACTAAACAAAAGTAATACATAATAAACAGGAAAATTCAGTTGTAATGATTTTAAACAAACATCCTTTATTGCCGAATATATTTTGTTTACTGGCTTTGTTTTGTGGTGCTTACCTTTTTAGTTTTTTTATTTTTCTACTGTGTACAGATCCCTATGGAGTTGAGCACTCAAGGTTTCATGCAGCCCAAGAAGCCAATTATTTTAAAATTTGTATCTCGAGCTTGAAGAGGGAACAGCTGGATTCAGAATGTGTCATCTAACTGTACATTTAAAAGTGCTTTGTATACGTTCTTAATAAAAACAAATAAAGAAAATGCAGCCAAATTGAAAAGCATATTACATGCTACATAATCTGCACAAACCTTTATAAAGTTACCTTGGTGTCATTAATGTTTCCGTCACTGCGGTAAACATTTTTCAAATGTGCTTATTACTTCAAAGTTCTCATTTGCCAATAGTACAGAGTTTGAAAACCTGGAGCGTGACTACACATCATTATGTCTAATGAAGACCTTATAACGGAACTCCAATTTTATTGAGAATAAAAAAAACAACTAAGCCCCTGTAGGCAAGCCATATACCTTTCAAGGTTTTTAGAAAATCTTTTTGCAGAATGATAACATTCTCTATTCTCTGAATACCTTTTTTTTTTTACTACGACCTTTATCAAGCTGCTTTCTATGTGGAGGGGTCTGCCTTCATTATATCCACCTAGTGCAATCTCAATTTTGCAATGAGGAAAGCTGCAGTGTCCCTTGATGGTTGAAATGTTCTCACCAATAATGAAACTCCTATTACAATGGATGGCTGGAATTTGACATTTATCTCCCTGCTGACTGGAAAGCAGTGAGCCATTCACGCATGCAGCAAAGGAAATTTCTATGGTATACAGAAGGCCTCCAGATTGCAAAAGTACAAGGAAGCAACATCTGTATCTGTAAATTCAAATGGAAATGTTATTTTCTGTTTTTCAACCACTTAAAGACCGGGGGGAATGTTTCAAAGCACTTGCGCCAGTTTTAGCCTTTTAGATACATTTTATTTTATGTGCAAATCTGTTTTTCAACATGTGCCCCTGTTTTCACCTGAGCTTACACCACTTTTCCAACTGTAAGTGTTTTTTTCACCTGTTTTCTTCAGAGCTTGCACTACTTTTACAGTTGCATGTTTTTTTCATCTTTTTTCATCTGCACGTGTTCTGGGCTGTATGAAACTGGAGCATCACCTAAGAAAACAATCGCAACTTAAGAAGTCCCCATGACCACTTCTTCAAGATGCGACAGTTAAGCTTTTTGCTTGTAGTTAGAAGTCTTCTTTCCTGGAGTCTATTAAACCTCATTTATCAACAACATTACACTAGCATCATAAATCTGGTGCAAATATATTCCGTGCAAGTTCAAACACTCGCAATTGCTATGATAAATTCCCCCCCAGGTGTTTACATCCCCTTCATGGCCAGGCCATTTTTTAGTATTCAGCGCTGCAGTACTTTGACTGACATTTATTCCGTCATGCAGCACTGTACTGAAATGTATTTTATACCATTTTTGGGGGACAGAGTGAGCTTTTTTTTGGTGGTATTTAATCACCACTCAGGATTTTTATGTTTTTCTACATTAAGGAAACATTATTGAAAATGTTGGGGAAAAAAATTTTTTTTTTTGCATTATGTTATAATACATTTATTACCCAATTGTTTGGTAAAATATGAAAGACGGGGTCACGTCGGGTAAATAGACACCAACAATGACAAGCCTTAAAATTGCGCGCACCCGCAAAAAAACTACCATACCCAAAATATACCATAGGCGATGCTTTAAAAGCTTTTACCACTCATCAGTTTAGTGTTATCAGTGATTTATAGCTCTAAAATTATTGCTCATACCGCGACGTTCGCGGTGATATGTACCATGTGCGGCATAATGGGCACAATTGTCGTTTTTGCACGTATGCGCACCTGACGCATGTTTGCGTGTGTGTGTATGTGGGGGTGGGGACTAACATTTTTTTGTGTTTTTTTTTTTAATTCTTTTTTTTATGTGGGACTTTAATTTTTTGTTTTGCAACTTTAATTTTTTTCCCCTCAACTTTATTGTTATCACATAGCTAAGAAGCCCCCTATGTGATAGCAAAGAGGATGTGACAGGTCCTCTTTATTGAGACATCAGGGATCTTCAAGACCGCTAATGTCAGCTAGGGACCTCCAAAGAAGCTGATGATCTGCTTCATCAGCTTCTCTCCATCTTCTGAAGCCGGAGAGTGACAGCAGAATGCGGAAGTGATGTAATGTACATCACTTCCTGCATTCTGACACCGGAGAGTGAACCAGCGGCTTTATAGCCATCGGATCGCTTATATGTAAACAGGCATCATTTTGACAGTTTCCCGGTCGTGCGCGCCATACGGCACACATGAGTGGGCAGGGCTAACAGACCATCTTTAGATGCCCCGTTACATCCAAGAAGCTCCCGGCCGGCCGTTTACTTACAACGGACACTGAACTTAGGAATTAAATCTTAAAAATGCACTCAAGTACCCCAACTATTAACAAAAATGTATCTTATTTGTGTTTAGATCCTCAAATAAACTCTGAATTTGAGCTGACATTGTCCTTCCTCCTGGAGGGTGGCTACTTTTGTTCTCATGGTCCCTGTGTGTGTTGTAAAGTAGCCACCACTCCAAGCTCACTCCTGTGATAGATTATAATCTCACCTCAGGGACGTCCAGAGGCCGGGTGTCACCTGGAGCTGAGACCGGCTGACATCCCACTGTGCGTGCGTGATAACGTCATCTCGCAAGCGCGGTAATCTCATTGATGCCTGCTGGCAGCCATCTTAGTGATGGACATGGGCAGAGAAAGGAGGGGTCGTTCACCCGGCGGAATTAGGTATGCCGCCGGGTCCCCTCCTCACTCCAGACACTGTTGGGCTCTCGGTCCATGACCGAGTGCCTAACTTTTTAGAGGGGGTGACACTACTGTTCCGATAGCACTGCTCCACCACTCGTTATCCCCACCTCCATTCATTCCCTTCTGGACACCATTCCTACCATCTAACAGCAGCGTAGCCATTCAGATTCGCTGGCGGCACAGTACCTCACAACTGCTGGCTGCACAGAGCTCCATCGATCTGCCGCTACGGCTCAGCCTGGCCAGCTGAGTCCGCCCTACACCAAGGCATACTGAGGATTCCACCTTTCTAATTGAGAGCAGTAAAGGTTTACCCCGTGCTCAACATCGCACCACCTCTCTAAGTAGCTCTTTCTCCACACAGCCACGACAATTATTCCATTCTCCATCAGAGATGATATGGTCCAGCCATCATTCTACAGAGAATGAAAAGAACTTTTCCATACAGATGTGGAAAACATCTTTTCGTTTCTCCATTGTGAAAGACCTCCAACAGTGAATGAGTTCATGCATTTTTCTTGTTTCCTAAACTCATTACCAAGAATTAATTTTTGGGTATTAGCACTCCTCTGTTCTCTTCATTATTGTACATTCTAATCCTTTGCAGTTCATGACGTAAAAGTGAAATGTCCCCTCTCTCACTGCTAGAGATTTCCTCTCACTTGTTTGATCTCTGGGACAGAAAGTAAAGGGATGTTTACTAAATTGTAAATAGACATAAAAAACAAACAAACTGGGGCTTAAACTCTTCATTACCCTATCCAAAACTAATGAAAAAAAAAGTTTTGGTTTAAAGTGACATTCAAGTCACAAATATTCCCCCCCCCCCTGCTATTTTACGGACTTACCCTAAATGATGCCTCTTGATCCGATCATCTTCTGTCTTCCACTTGTGGTCCCTCCAGTGCTGGTGCCGGTCTCTGAAGCACCACAGACTGCTGTCTCTTCCTGTCCCACGGTGTCTGTCCGATGTGCACATTCCTGGCTGCATGCATTCAGCTCCACTGTGCCTCTCCTCCCCACTGAAGATCTGTACTGCGCATGCGCCCAACCCATCATCCAACGCGGCCGCTCAGGAATCTTCCGATCTTCGGGCGGGAGCGAGTGGCGCTGTTCGAGGGTAAGTAATTACCTTTTTTTGGTAACTTTTTAATTTTAAAACATTTTTTTGCATATATCTACTGCTGGGTAGATATATGCAAAAAAATGAGAGTTTAATTATACTTTAACATACAATTTGAGTAACATGCATACTAGTGTAGTGTAACTAGTGATGGATAATATTACTGTGGTTTAAAATGTAGCTTATGTGGTTCCCAAATAAGAATTACAAAGCAGCAGGAGTGGATGTGTGCAGCTTTTTCACAGATACATTTACATGTTGTTTTATGTTTAAGGGGATGTAAGGTCAAAATGTAGCTGGGACAGCTAAATACCCAGTCAAAATGCATGTTGTTTACAGTTTTATCTATCAAAATATTTTCAATGCTGTAAACCAGTTTGGTAATTTACAGACCTCAAACTGCATAGGCAAGGCAGATAACACTTATTTATTGGTGCACAGCATACCAACATACCTCCCAACTTTAAAACTGAGAACGAGGGACACCTTAGCATGGAAAAATATGTGGTACAATGCATTCGCTGTGCCAACAAATTGGGCTACTTTGCACTAAATATTCAGCTTCAAGAGACACTGTAGCTCTGCCAATTCAGGGCAATGTGACCGTGTCTGTGAAAAGGCCCCACTAACCTAATAACCCCAGGTTGTTTAGGAACACTGATCTGTCATTACAACTCGGCGGAGCGAGCTGTGAGATCACGGCTGGCTCCATTCAGCTGTCATTTGCGTGGCGTTAGACTTTCTCCGCGCTTTGACTGTAACTTCGGCTCAGTCGCGCCAAAGCATATGCCTTCGGCTGCTGTACGGACTATTGTGAATAGCCTGTACAGCAGCCCTTCGGTTTGCAGAGGTGGCCGAAGAGATCCGAAGGATCAGCCGAAGCTGGATCCTTTAGCTTTTTAGTGAATAACCCCCTAAGATTGTGTTTGGTTTGCATGCTGCAATTCAGTACATATGTTTGCCTGGATTTCACATTCTGCTGAGGAGGTCAGCAGTGAGAGCCTACATCTTTCTGGGGATTTCATCAGCAGTCCTGTAGACAGAATGTAATAACCTTCTCTGATAATACATGAGTAAATATTAATATATTGAAACAAGTGCATGCAGAATCCCAGCAAAATGTATTTGTTTAGTATGAAGAATAAAAAACTATGTTACTGATCCCGATGTGATGAGTTTTCTGAATCTTTCTGGCTTTTTAAAGTACTATTTTTCCCATAAATCTCATAAGCATTCT